CGTTAAAGCATACGAGGCGACGTAGGCAGATCCAAAGTGATCGAAAGACACAAGACGATTGGCTCCTGTTTTAGACTTCAAAGGTAAATTCTAGCATAAATTGCATAAATACTAAGTGTAAAGAGACATGTAGGGTTTGGTTTTCTTTTCTGGAAGAAACGTTGACATTTCAAACTCTACAATAGATGTGTATGAAATCAATAACGTCACGGCAGCACAATAGTAAGATCCCTGCTCTTGGCTCCAAAGGTTCTTTGATCAAATGCTCCCATGGGCTCTTGGCTCCAAAGGTTCTTTGATCAAATGCTCCCATGGGCTCTTGGCTCCAAAGGTTCTTTGATCAAATGCTCCCATGGGCATGTTATTTTTCTTTTACTTTTTTAATTCAAAGGAACTCACATAGTATTTTTCTATTTTGTTTCGATCGAGAGCATTTAAAACATTAAACAATTCAATAGTTGTTTGTTTGCGATGTAAAGTGAAAGTCTTACATAAATATATTAGTTTAAAAAAAAAGAAAAGGAAAAAAAACCTGATCGTATCTCCTTCGAATGCGGAATTCTTTTTTCCCCACCAACTACAAAATTTGTGAAATTACATAGATATTTTTATTAGGAACTCTCCTACTCTCAATTAATTTAAATCAATTATCAGTAAAACAGAAATAATACATTAAAACTGCTGTCAGGTATGAGGTTTATGTACAGTATCTCCGTCTGAGAAGACATTTATCACTATCTTTGTTTTTGTTCTGTATGCACAGAAATCTATAATCAGACGATTACAACGTTTCCGTGATATTAGGTTTTTAATAAGTTCGATTTACCCATATATTGAGATCCGATATTAAGCGAAGATGATATGTTATTTGTAAAAATAAGTTAATTATAATATAAACCAAAACAAACGGTTTACTGAATGTGACTCTCTCTCTCTCTCCCCCCCCCCCCCTCTCTCTCTCTCTCCCCCCTCCCCCCCCCTCTCTCTCTCTCTCCCCCCGTCTTTCTTTCTCTCAATTTCTTTATAAGATATAATTTACTGTAAATTACCTTATCGAGGCATTGCTTGTATTCTTTGGCATTTGACAGCGTTGAACTTATGACGTCACTGATGTGGGATACCCATAGCAAGGCGGAGTCAAAGGTGTGAATTTCAGATAAATTACAATAACTGGGAAACGTAAATACCTACGACTTTCGTACTGTTTGACTTTTTTATTGTATGATATGAAGCATTTTATAACTAAATAGAATAGGAAACTGATAAAATAGGTTATAGTCACATAATTGATCAATTATCTTTTTCCACATCAAGTAGTTTTTTTTTTTTTTTATTTCTTGAAAAAATTCACTTCCATTCGCCAACTTGAAAATAACTTAACATTAGTTACCGCCATGCGAGTATCATAAAACAAAACACGAAGAAAATACCAACATGTCTATATATATACGTAATCCTAATCCGAACTAAAGTTCAATAAAGCCAGGTATGAACAAAACGAAGACTTACACGGGGAGTCCTGAAAAGTACAAGGGAAATAAAACCAGGTGTTCCAGAAGAGTAAGCATCTTTTGCTTCATCGACGACACTCGCCATGTAAATCTTGGTCAATCCAAGTAAGCAATGTCACGTTCTCAAATGAGAACTATGTATACAGCAATGGAACCAACAGGCAAACTACCGAGCATCGAACACGTCCAGCTTCATATCGATCAAAGAAATATATTATTTTTGAATATGACAACCGTAAAACGTCCCCAAAATTTTCATCAACCTTCATGTTTAGAACCCCTATATTACGAGTTTGTTATCCAGTTGACGATTTCTTGTACGAATATCGTGATAATGGTAAAATACCCTTGAATATCCGACTGCGACATGTAAACACCAACTTATACCTGGCAAGAAGCGAACTCTATATGACCCTGGGAAATCTGGTAAAATTATATTGTAAATATATCTTTGACTTCCAGAAGATTAACAGATTTGTGTGCTACCGGGTCATAGTTCAGTTGAGGATAACTGAATACTTTGTTAATTCAGTTAATATACACAAAGCGTAAACTTAACAAACAACCACTGCTGAGTTCCTCACGGTTCAATTTGTCCAGCTCAATCAATATGGGGACATGCCACATAACGTGGTATTTGCAGACGATACACACGATGTCAATTTATTTATATATCACCAAGTTGTTAGAAACAGGTAATTAGTTCTGGAGAGAGTTTTCATACATATTTCTGTTTGTAGTGACGACAAACCGTCACATTGTACTACTAAACAGCTAATCCATTCTCAGAGGTATTGCAAAGAAAACACGTTGTGAAATGAAAGGTAGGTGTAGAGAAAAGATGAACAGAACATGGAATAAAGATTTAAAAAAAAACCATTCCATCGACGCAGGCTTTTTTTCTTAACTTCCAAGTTTAACTTCCTTTTTTTATCTGTACATATCAGTGGATGTAGGGAAATGTATTAATCAACTGGATTAGTTCTATTTATAGACTATTTACATCCTTACTAGATAAATATCAATTAGATTTATTAACTTAACACACTCCTATACTTATTTGGTTAAGCCATAATAACTATCAGGGATGGGCTTCACACTTAGCGTTACAATATGTCATTCACCTGAAGTACGTATCACTGTTTAGTTGAGTTAATGAGTGCGCGTGGTTAGGGAAAATAAAATTGACGCCACTGAAAAATAAAAGGTTCGGAAAACAAAAATTACACTGAACACATGCTAAGCCTACCCATCTCAACGATTTTTTTATTATAAAGTGATAGGGGAAGTTCTGAATTTAGATCTAGTCGAGCTGGACTATTTCACAAACAAGTCGTTACATTTATCCAAACTTAAAGCGACGGCGGTGTGGCTTATCAGAAGCGCTCACAGAACAAACACCGCCAACAGGAAAAAGTACTATTATGCGTAAGAGCCCAAAAGAGCGAATAAAATTGACTTTCGAGATCATGAAATTCTTTTATGGTAGTCAGTATATACTATTTTATATACTGGAAAAAGAAAACAGAATACCATTGAAATAATTATGTTTTATACAATTTTAGACCAGCATATGCATTTGTAACACAACAAATTGGTAATACAAATCTCTCAAAATTTCACACTCTTTTTAAGTTTCATATCAAATTCATATTTCCTTACCCGTGTATAATTCTGAATGTATGACATTTAACTAAACATGGTACAGACATCATTTTATCTTTGCACGGTACAGAACAAACAACAATCTTAATGATGTTGCTGATTTGTCTTACAAACAAAATGGATCAATATGGTTAAGGTTGTAACAACATGAAACACTTCCCCGTTGATAATATTACACGATTTAAATTATTTTATAATAGGTAATAATTCAGTAGCATGGATACCTATGTTTCATGCAATGTAATGTAACCCCTAGAGTTTACGTTTGCGACAGTTTTCATCATTTAGACCGTTTGACAATTCAAGAACTCGACTGAGATGTAGGTTTACATGGCGGGTGTCGTTAACGAAGCAGAAGGCGCTTACCCTTCCGGATCACTTGCTCTTATTCTCTTTGTACTTTTTCAAGAGTCTCTGTGTTCAGAAGACGCTTACTCTTCTTGAACACTTGGTCTTATTTTCTTTGTACTTTTTGGGGAGTCGCCATGTAATTCTTTCTTTTGTTCATATTTTACCTTGGTTTTATTAAGTATATAAACAATTTGATAGCTGTTAACATCTTTTAAGGACGCGAGAAATCAATCGATAATAAACATCTAGAGATTTATCAACCGTTACACACATAAAATCCAACGCTACCGGATATTGTTGACTTTGAAAATTAGTTTCAATTACAGATTTACAAACTCTTATACATCAACTTGAAAAAAAACATTGTCATATAACCCTTCACAATAATTTTCCCTTTACAATATGATATCTTTAAAATATACATAATTGAGTGTTATTGTGGGGTAATAAATTGATCTCAATTTCTTTTCTGCACCATCACCTTCATCGTGTTATGGTCAAGTCTTTTTTTATGTCTCTTCAGAGCGATTTTTTATTGTTGAGAGTTAACGAGAAATCTCTTAACCTCCTGCATTCATGTCACGTGAATGCTGGTCCCGATTACCTGTCTTTATTTCACTTAATGGACGAATAATACATATACATATATGTTAACATTATTCAAAACACATCACATATAACAAACATATAAAACATTTACCACATCGCTATCAGTGTATTAACACTTACGGTAACTTCAGAGCACCGATATATTGTCACCATTTCGATATAATGTCATATTCATTGTGAAGTTATTAAACAAAAACATATGACATGAGAATATCGCCAGAATTATTTTCAGTTCAGTCCAATGAATGGCTGTTTTCAGGAATACTGGAAGACGTTTCCAGTCAGTTGACTTATATTCGTTTTAATTTCAAACAAGATTTATGGACCTTTTCACAATTTTTTTCTTTCTACCTCTTGAAATGTCCCATTTAATGCACAATTAGTATATATGTTCGTTATCTTGTATATATGACAACGGATGAATTACATAGGACACAACAAATTACAAGTTCCTTGCCATACATTTTATAATTTACATTTATCACGACACGCATACTGATGAAATATGTTTTTACTTCTAAATTACGCCACCTAGCGTTAATCACCAGTAACCAAAATGGACACTGACCATCGAAAGCTCTTGGTAAGATAAATAGGAAAGCTATAGGTAAAATAAGTAAAATATATCCCTGTTGTTTTTACCTCTCAGTTCGACAGTTAATAATATCGCAAACTCAGTAAACGACGTCTCCCATACAATCAAGGCACATTTCGGTTCTGTCTGTGTCTCCTATATAGGTTAACATTTTGAGTATATCCACTTCGGCAATTATCTTTTCATTTATGTAAGATTTTTGCTATGTCCGTCTGTCTTCCACTAAGGAGCTTTCGTGTGATCAGCATAACGTCTTCATGGTTCTAGAATCATTGATGTGGCGTTGAATTTTTAATAATCAGTCTGAAAGATACGGTAAAAATCATTAGTAACATTATAAAATGTTTTACGATTTAAGATATGCTAAAATAGAAAGTAATAAAACTGTTACACAACAACGACAAGATATTGTAACTGACCATTAGTGTTTATAGTATCAATTATCATGGGTCCACTTTACAATTTGAATTTTTCACAGGAAGCTATATTCGAACAGAAAGGACTTAACTGTGTTAACAATTTGTGGCGATATATTTTTATTATGGTATCGCAAATGTCCGTTTTACTAGCGATGTGTAACTAAGTTTACCAGCTCGATATATACTGTACAGCCGATACTGTACCGCCAATATATACTGTACCGCCGATATATACTGTACAGCCGATATATACTGTACCGCCAATATATACTGTACAGCCGATATATACTATACAGCCAATATATAATGTAATGTACCGCCGATATATACTGTACCGCCAATATATACTGTAATGTACCGCCAATATATACTGTACCGCCGATATATACTGTACCGCCAATATATACTGTATAGCCGATAAAAATTGTACCGCCGATATATACTGTACCGCCGATATATACTGTACCCCAATATATACTGTACCCCAATATATACTGTACCGCCGATATATACTGTACCGCCGATATATACTGTAATGTACCGCCAATATATACTGTACCCCAATATATACTGTACCCCGATATATACTGTACCGCCGATATATACAGCTGTAAATATGTATTATACCATATTATATATATGTCCATATTATTGCTGTAAATATGATTTAATCCGATGTAGGGTTATATTTATATCTATTTAGTTTAACCCAGTAGAGAGGGCTGCCAGAGGTAAATTGTTGGGGTACCGGGTTGCCTGTTACATGACCGCCGTAAATATAGATATAATATATATATACTGTACCCCAATATATACTGTACCCCAATATATACTGTACCGCCGATATATACTGTAATGTATCGCCAATATATACTGTACCCCAATATATACTGTACCGCCAATATATACTGTACCGCCGATATATACTGTACCGCCGATATATACTGTACCGCCAATATATACTGTACCGCCGATATATACTGTAATGTACCGCCAATATATACTGTACCGCCGATATATACTGTACCGCCGATATATACTGTACAGCCGATATATACTGTACCGCCAATATATACTGTATAGCCGATAAAAATTGTACCGCCGATATATACTGTACCGCCAATACAAACTGTACCGCCGATACTGTACCGCAAATATATAGTGTACCGTCGATACAGCTTAGGCGTATCCCTAAATTTAAATTCATGATGGTTATACTTACTTCACGGAAAATGTGAATAATATCAAACTGCAAATTATTCCAAATATGGAATCGATATACCAAAGTGATGCATCTGCAATGTATGCTTCAAGCGCTCCTAGTACTGCAAAACTCATTACTGCACCAATGATCGTTATAGCACCTGTAGAATGTAAAAGTTGATTAGATAATGAGATAACTCAGGAAAGGTTTCATTGAATCTCTCGATGATAACCAAAACGCATTACTGCACCAATGATTCATGCTCGGGTGGAAGAGGGGGGTTCAGGATTAAAATTATTTGAATTATTTCAGTGTTTTGTGTTTTGGCTTTAGTTTAACACCCCTTCTGAGTGTTACAACACATAATGATTAAACAATCAAAAGTCCATAGGATTTAATTAGCCCAACCGTTTGGTTATGACGCCATGTCAGTTTACAGCATATTTTGTTATATCAAACAGTCTATGTAATGAAGTTGTATATTTGTGCAGGATTCGTGTTATACTGAATGATTTTTATTAGAATCATATGTCTATACACACTAAATGTTACTGTTGTTTGATGTTTAGATGGTGTGTGTATAAGATTGTGTTAAAAGTTACCAACAGAAAAGCACTGATCAGCATGTTAACAATAACTAAAGGAGCAAATCAGCTAAAGTCACGTGAGTCCATCCAATGCTGTTCTGATGTTTTATACTGAGAGGTGAGGTTACAGTCCTCACATCACACATTGTTTAGGCCTATACTATTCTCACGATGAGCTGTAGCAGGTCATCCTGTAATATTTCATACATTCATACTCAGCACGTCACTAGTCCCTTCATTACACACGACCCGGATGTATTATCATCACATATGACACGGATGTATTAATCTGTTGTCATGGTAACTAGTCCCTTCATCACACACGACCCGGTAACTAGTCCCTTCATCACACATGACCCGGTAACTAGTCTCTTCATCACACATGACCCGGTAACTAGTGCCTTCATCACACATGACCCGGTAACTAGTCTCTTCATCACACATGACCCGGTAACTAGTCCCTTCATCACACAAGACCCGGTAACTAGTCCATTCATCACACAAGACCCGGCAACTAGTCCCTTCATCACACATGACCCGGTAACTAGTCCCTTCATCACACACGGCCCGGATGTATTAATCTGTTGTCATGGTAACTAGTCCCTTCATCACACACGACCCGGATGTATTAATCTGTTGTCATGGTAACTAGTCCCTTCATCACACACGACCCGGGTGTATTAATCTGGTAACTAGTCCCTTCATCACACACGACCCGGTAACTAGTCCCTTCATCACACACGACCCGGATGTATTAAAGCGTCGACATGGTAACTAGTCCCTTCATCACACACGACCCGGTAACCAGTCCCTTCATCACACACGACCCGGTAACTAGTCCTTTCATCACACACGACCTGGATGTATTAAAACGTCGACATTGTAACTAGTCCCTTCATCACACACGACCCGGTAACCAGTCCCTTCATCACACACGACCCGGTAACCAGTCCTTTCATCACACACGATCTGGATGTATTAAAACGTCGACATTGTAACTAGTCCCTTCATCACACACGACCCGGTAACTAGTCCCTTCATCACACACGACCTGGATGTATTAAAGCGTCGACATGGTAACTAGTCCCTTCATCACACACGACCCGGTAAATAGTCCCTTCTTCACACACGACCCGGATGTATTATCATGACGACCCGGTAACTAGTCCCTTCATCACACAAGACCCGGTCACTAGTCCCTTCATCACACAAGATCCGGTAACTAGTCCCTTCATCACACATGACCCGGTAACTAGCCCCTTCATCACACACGACCCGGTAACCAGTCCCTTCATCACACACGACCCGGATGTATTAATCTGTTGTCATGGTAACTAGTCCCTTCATCACACACGACCCGGGTGTATTAATCTGTTGTCATGGTAACTAGTCCCTTCATCACACACGACCCGGTAACTAGTCCCTTCATCACACACGACCCGGATGTATTATCATGACGACCCGGTAACTAGTCCCTTCATCACACACGACCCGGATGTATTAAAGCGTCGACATGGTAACTAGTCCCTTCAATACACACGACCCGGTAACCAGTCCCTTCATCACACACGACCCGGTAACTAGTCCTTTCATCACACACGACCTGGATGTATTAAAGCGTCGACATTGTAACTAGTCCCTTCATCACACACGACCCGGTAACTAGTCCCTTTATCACACACGACCTGGATGTATTAAAGCGTCGACATGGTAACTAGTCCCTTCATCACACACGACCCGGTAACTAGTCCCTTCATCACACACGACCCGGTAACTAGTCCCTTCATCACACACGACCCGGTAACTAGTCCCTTCATCACACACGACCCGGTAACCAGTCCCTGCATCACACACGACCCGGTAACTAGTCCCTTCATCACACACGACCCAGATGTATTAAAGCGTCGACATTGTAACTAGTCCCTTCATCACACATGACCTGGATGTATTACATATTATGATGAACAGATACGTACAGATAATAAAACATACATTAATCTGATGATATTCAGAAGAGGCGCAATCTGAAGCAGATTTGATGACGTCATTGACATAGATATGTCAGATCGAGAAACAAACATATAGAAGTAAAGAGATTTTAGAGCAGTTGTGATCTGTCGTTCTGAAACCGGTTATAAGCATAAGAGACCTTGAATCCCATTTATAGAAATATCTAAAAAAAAATTACAACTTAAAAGCCGAAGCATATTGGCTGTTTAAGTGTTTTGACGTCTTCACATATGTATGTATGTATGTATGTATGTATGTATGTATGTATGTATGTATGTATGTAAATAAGTAAGTAAGTATGTATGTATGTATGTATGTATGTATGTATGTATGTATGTATGTATGTGTGTGTGTGTGTGTGTGTGTGTGTGTGTGTGTGTGTGTGTGTGTGTGTGTGTGTGTGTGTGTGTGTGTGTGTGTGTGTGTGTGTGTGTGTGTGTGTGTGTGTGTAAATAAGTAAGTAAGTTAGTATGTATGTATGTATGTATGTATGTATGTATGTAAATAAGTATGTATGTATGTATGTATGTATGTATGTATGTATGTATGTAGGAGTGGATATTTCACTCCCTTTCAGTTGCCTTACATTGATAATGTCTCATTTTTTTAAACAACGCTACAAAATGTATAGCAATATAGATATTATCTTATACATCACCAGTGTTGTTGTACATGTAGGGAACTCTTTTAAACTTCATTATACGATGGACTGATCTGTCTGCCTCTTAGATAATTGTTTTAATTCACCAACTACAAGGCAGAAGAGTCTGTTTACATGCAGGTAGACGGAGCTTTTTCAGCTCTGAAAATGATAATGTTAAATATTGTCAATATTATTATTTCAGTAAACGCGTACTAGGCTTTGAGATCTAGATGTAACTTTTCACTTGTATTCAATACATACTGGGGTTCAGTCTTCTCTTTGTCGTGATAATCTCGTAACTAATTACCTGTATTATGATACCAGAGCCACAAAGAAATAAAGAAATGTTTGGAGAGCAGTGTTTTGTAAAGGAGATTTGTTATTGAGATTAGCAGGATGACTATAAAACTGTGAAATCTTAATTTGACTTTCACGACGGTTCGGTAGGAAGCAAATTATAGACAAAAGCCCACAAATGCAATCTGATATTTTCTAGGCATGTATAGGATTAAGTATCATCGTGTACAAATATTGTTGTCGTAAAAAGCGGACAGCGACTTTCATCACTGTATCATGATACAGGATTCCATTTTGCTGCCATTAAAACGATGTTTCACACTGAACGCTTTCTCTACATAAATTGATAGATTCAAACCCATATTTCATGATTAATTTCAGCCAATTTATATTATACCGAATCGCCTTCTAGATTTCGATCATAAAAGTTCTCAACATCATTGACAAGTCCTAGAACGGCGACACATCTGTAATGTACGGACTGACATTTTTGACGAAAAACAAAATATAGACGAAGATTCTGGAGAAGGATCTATAAATAATATTTCCTCCTTTAGACGCCAGACAGTATCCAGTTCTTGGCTCAGGTTACGGAACACTTGGTGTGAACGTGTTGCTTGTCGATACGATATTATAAGGTTTGATCCTAATATCAGATTTTAATTAACAACGCAAGTATCAACCGCAACAAGCTCATGATAAGTTGGTAGTAGGTTTTTTCATCTTGTCGATAACCTTCCAATTTTGAGAACCTGACAACCCTTGGTATGACTTATGTTTACATGTTGGGTGTTGTCAGCAAAGCAGAATGTGCTTTTCCTTTAGGAACACTTGGTCGTATTCTCTTTGTACTATTTTAAGTATTTTCTTTGTTCGTTATTTGCTATTGTTATATGCTATTCCAGTTTGAAGTATGATTTTCGTCAATATGGTTGTTTTGTCCCATTTGTCTTGTGTATTCACATGTAAACAGCCTATCACACTTTTATCCGTAATTCACATCGCTTTACTTTCTCTAGTTACAAAAGGTGTCCACCCACCAAAAATCAATACTTACTGTCAGTGAGAAGTGCCATACTTTCTATCTTGTAGCCAATACATATTTTGGAAACACCAAGTACCACGTTGATTATACCGTTAACCAGAGACAATGTCCACACCAGTATAGACTGAAACAGTAAGACAGAGAGCGGTGATTATAGAGACCATAAAAAGTTACACGGAAACCGTAAACAAAATGATGGACGACCTCAATGTGAAAAAAATATCAATGTTATGTCCATTCACAACAAATAGAAGAGACCCGTATTCAGTGTTTTAATAAAAAAATCATTGTGGGCATCGTAAACACATGAAATGGTGACCGCCTTATAATCCGAAGGCCCAATAGTCCGAAGGCCCGTTAGTCTTAAAATATTTAAAATGTCTCGGTATTCATTGATGGAATAGATACATTAATTAATCATGTCATATAATCAGGTTCATTTAAGTAGTTATACTAGTATACAATAACGACACTAAAGTAACGTTACGTAAAACCCGTTTATTTTCGGGTGGGGGTGGGAGGGGTGTGTGTGTGTTGATTTTTGATGGAATAGGTTTTACTCTTCATCCACGCATTTACATGTCCACGAATTGATAAACCACACAGTTTCAAAGTTGATATTTTATTGCCGATTGTGTACTATTCATCAACGAAACGCAGCGTCCACGGAATTTTGTTGTAAAACCACGATATTTGAGAACAACAGAAAAAAACATTACAGAAATTAATCATGACAGTCGTACATAAAAAAATATTACTACTATACGTAAGTTTTAGTGTGTTCTATTGATAAATCTGTGGTGATGGCCCTTGTTTAACCACTTAACTCCCAACTACGCATTTCTACTTATTGTGACGTCTGTGTTGGGAAAACAGACCTATCTCCCTTAGTTATGGAGGTATTGAACTACAGATTATATCTCATAAATTTGGAGAAAATGCTGAACAACCCAGTCAATTTTAATTTTGTAGATATTTCTAACGTTTTTCAGGAGTTTAAAATAGAAGGCATTTTTACAGACATCTTGGATTGATGAAGTCGTGTGCACGGTGTAAATATCTATTCACGTGTCCGGTTTGTATTCCACATATATGTTCATAAAGAACGAGATCTTTCACTAGTATGTCAATACATGGATATCTAATATTCAAAACCGTATGCACGTGCATCTGTATTGATAAACAAGCTGTTGAAATTCCGTTTTTTTTCAAACATCCCTCCGTTTACGATCGTTGCCGAATCAAAGTCGGAAAATCCTTCAAACGTTTCCATGAGATGACACATTAACAATACATAATGTATGTCCTATTCAGACTACACAGCGAGCTCTTGAATGATTATACACCTGCATTCTGTGATATGACTTCAGAAAAAAAAAACATGCAGCACTTGCGATATCGCACAATACTTGTAAACGCACCTACCCTACATAAACTATGTATATTTTTAATGACCGCTTTCTGAAGTTTGTGAAAGACGCGAGCTCAGCGGGCGCTTTATGGTATTTTGTGTTGTAATTCTAAACCAACAAGCTTCAGCTGTCGATCATATATGTTTTCATTAAATAAACAAACATTGATTTTTGTAAAGATCAGTAATAACAACATTCCAATATAGAAAGTTGACTTTATTTATTCATTTATCTTACAGGTTTAACGTCCGCTATTACGGCCTTTTCAACATTTCAGGAGACGCGATGAATTTGACAATCAGGTTATTATATATATGAAACAATGGCCTTACTCAACTCACACAAGTTAATAAATATAAATGCATTAATATAGGTGTTCCATCCTTGTTTATTATAAAATCCAAACTTGTAGTAAAGAAGAGACCCTTACGAATAGATTTATGAACGAACGGAAGAAAATCAATAAAAAATGTAAATAATTATATATTTTAGATATAATATACAACGATAAAATAGACATAATTCCTAAACTTGTAATTTTCATTACATCAGTATCCGGTCTCTGACATGATCGTCGTGCATAAGACGGCGATGACACCACGGAGATAGATCGAAGTCCGTGGCAACACGTTGGTATATGTGGTAGTCTAGTTTAAATATATTTTATTTGACCAAAAATCAAATGGAAATGAACACAAGTTAAAGAATTTAGGAACGTCCTCTTCCATAAATAATTATTCAAGGTTACATACATATATATATGGCAGCAATTCATCAAGCATTGAATCATTGATTTATACATAAAATAAACATTACTGTATACTGATGGAAAATTCCCAATATCAGCAGCTTTATAATATTACTTGTAAGATATACAGTATGAATACTATACTTTGTATAACTTTATGCGAATCTATGTCGGCGTGTGTTAGTGAGGCCATGAATTATTCAGTTCAAAAAGTTGAACGACTTGCGTTCACTTTTAGGCAGTGACGACTTCATGTTAATTTATATTTATTTCGAGATCCACACAAAAATTATATTAACTGATATGCCACCCAGCTTAGTATGTTAACATCGTCGTGTTTTTCTCACATGAATGCTTTTGCTGAAAGCAACCTACGACAAAACTTCGATAATCATTGTTTTATAAAGTCTGTATCACTAAAGTCACGGTTAATATCTCACCATAGTTGCATAAACATGTTATGTTGAAAACCTGACATTTTCTCACATCAAAGCGTTTGCTGATAGGAACAGCGACAAAACTACAACAACCTTTATGTTCATTAACATTAAGTTTAACGACAGGCCATAATTCTCCGTGGTTGCTTGAACATGTTCTTCGTCACCCATGCATACTTCTAATATTTTTTGTTTTGTTTTTTAAAATTCTTAATCTCAAGTAGTGAATATCCAGTGCAGTCGGAAAATTTGGGATCTGATATCTGTTCTTCCTTCTTAACAATTTTTCTCAATGTCTCCATTGATAATTCAGTTGAGCTTTAACGCTTTAGGTTCTCTCTCTTAGCCGAGATATACCAGAGTTTATGTAATTGGTAGTTACTACTTCCTACTATAGGCCTAATAAAAGTGTAACAATCAGTTCTCTTGTTATCAATATGATATTTACAGATGGGAATGGGGTGGGGTGGGCTTAAACAATATAAAACCATAAATCTTAAATTATGTTTTTTTTCCTGGACAGAAAAAAAAAAAAAAAAATGCCATTACAAAACTAAAACTTTTTTGACTCGATTTCTTCTAGGTTGTCAATATCTTTTTACACACACAATATCAACCTTTTTTTCAAAACAAAATCAAATTTTGGTTGCTATGGCAACTTTACAATCCGAAAAGAAATAATTTTGCTGTAAAATTCTAACAATTACTACCGATGAAGGGAAGGTGTGAACGACACACTTACTATAGTATTGAACAAAGTATTGATACTATTGTATTGAAGTATTCAAATAATCGAGTCAAGTATACAACGACCTCTGTGATTGGTCGGGGGCGGAGTTTAGACATTCTGAATAGTTGATCTGACACCCAATTTGTTCCGGTAGGCGGAGTTAATGTACACTATCAGTTACATAACAATTACTAAGTAATCGCTGGAAAAATGTCCGACGACGGCAACAGTACGCAAAATTTTCTTCGACGAAATTATGTCCGATACGAACGATATGGGGACTCCTGTTTTTGTACAAGGCGATGTGGTTGTGATGGATAATTGTGGATTCCATCACCATAGACAGGGAGAGCGCATTTTATGCTGAAAGAATATGGCGTGTCCCTGGTTTTTCAGCCGCCTTATTCCCCGGAATACAACGTAACTGAATATGTATTCAATGTCATGAGACAGAGGCTTCGGGCAAATACCCGACTTGTGTCAGAATTTCTGGAACTTGCAGTAGTAAATGCTCTAGATATTCCGCCCAACCAACTTCAAAGTTTTTTCACATGTTGCGGATATGTATAATTTTCGATGGAAAGATAAAAAATAAAATAAAAAATATATGGGACCACAGAATTCCTTTATTTTTTAATGCAGTATGAATTATTGGCATATATCAGGAGGTCCCAGGTAATTCGTAATTCTTTGCTACATATAATAGAGCTTGGGCTTAAACCGAAATATTTTGAGCCAACCCTCCCCCCCCCCCCCCTTTCAAAAAAAAAAATAAATAAATAAAACTAGTACAGAATGACTATATGACTATATTCACTGTTAAGATGTTATGAATTCTCCGGTCCCAGTGATCTAACCTGTTGATATATATTTTGTACGTAAATTAGTTTAGTACTGAGTAACTTTCGTTTTCTCGTTGTACCATCGATGGAAAAGCAAGGTATCATTGGGTGTAGAACGAAACAAATGGGACAACCCAATTAGGTCTGATCTGAAGCCACCTGTGACTTGGACTCTTCCAATTAACCTCTCACGACAGTCGCGTGTTTGTAAAATGCCGATGTCTGCACTGTGTTTTTTCACCTGACTCCACCCACAATCGATCTAGACTTGGCTCTGCCAATCAGAGAGCTTGTTGCATAAATTTAAGGAATTCGATTGGTGAAGTACTTCAGTACAATACTATCAATACTTTGTTCAGTACTACAGTACTTGAAACGTTCACACCTTCCCTTCATCGGTAGTAAGTTTATTCAGTTTCCTATTATACATTCTGGTGGTTGACTAAACTGTTAATTCTGTTATGCAAAGCCTTTTTAGGTAATGAAATTTAGACAGACCAAAATAAAATTTGCTGATTTCAACAACATCAAATATTCGAAAAACGAGCTAGTAACCATGGCAACAACCACGAATTAGTAAATTTCTGGCATATACATGTTCTTAGGTTTCTACTTCAGTAATTCACAATACTATGAATTTCGGATGTATTTTTTATTCACTTCCATCGTCGAAAACATTTGCTACCAATAGAAATTTGATTTTTTTTTTCAAATGTTTAAAATTGTGGTTGCTATGGTAACATTATTATTCGTAACACATGATTTTTTCAGAAGATTTGGAAAGCTTGTATTCCCATGTTTCTAAGTATATATGGGAGTTGCTTACAAAATTTTAGTTGAAAAAGGTGAAAATTCATGTTAAAGTAAAAATGGTAGTTATAGTTTATACTGCTGATAAATTTGTATTTACAGCCCTTGTTTAAGTAATGATAGTTCACGTAACTGGTAGTCATACTTTATACTGCTGATAAATCTGTAGTTATGGCCCTTGTTTTAGTAATGATAGTTCACTTAACTGGTAGTTTTAGTTTATACTGCTGATAAATCTGTAGTTATAGCCCTTGTTTAAGTAATGATAGTTCACGTAAGTGGTAGTCATACTTTATACTGCTGATAAATCTGTAGTTATGGCCCTTGTTTTAGTAATGATAGTTCACGTTACTGGTAGTCATACTTTATACTGCTGATAAATCTGTAGTTATGACCCTTGTTTTAGTAATGATAGTCAACGTAACTGGTAGTCATACTTTATACTGCTGATAGATATGTGGGCGTATGTAGCTGATAGTCACCGTATATTATATTACTGTTATTTTTATCATCAATACAGACCCGCTTACATGAATTAATGATACAAGTTGTCTTCATGAACTGTAGTAAAAGTATTTGTGTGCTTTTGGTAGTCTTAGTAACATACATGATTAACCAATTACAATAAAGTATACATCATATAGCGACAGTATATCGTGTTATAAAAGAGTTATGAAGCGATTAAAAGATTTTTGTTCTTGTTTGTTTGGTTTATCGCCCTGTGAAAAGTCTGCGTTATGTTTAGGAAGGGTCTGTTTATAGCTTATGGATGACTCGCTGAACAGTAGACCCATCGTTTGAGATCTAGAGTAAGCAGGGTAAAGCGTCTTGCACGAGGACATCATTACAACACTGAACAACAGGTTTCTCAGCTTTCTGAGTACAATCCGATACGAGAAGGAAGAATCGAACCACGCGTCTTGGGCTTCACTCAAGGGTACGCGAGTCAACGCTCTAACCGTCTGAACTATTGCGGTTCCCTGAGCCTACTGACAAATTAGAGAGATGTGAAATAAAATAAAATTGATTTTCAATAAAATAAAATCTAATTCCCTTTCACTTCCATCACTTTATCGAAATTTGATATCAAGATACTGAAGAAGAGCACTTATCTGTGTCCTAATCAAGTCCCTCAAAAGTATTGACTATATTCAATTATAGCTTCCAGGAGACATCCATATAATAAATGATGACCTTACACGGAGAGAGGTTCAGACGTAAAAAACAGAATGATGGCACCATGGTAGTATACAAGGACTTGTTAAGTAGATTTACCAACCTTTACTTCTTTAATGTGCAGCACTAAATCATATATCGTTTTTCCAGCCAGGAAAAATGACGACAATAAAAAGAAGAACCCGATGATTAGACAGGCGCTGGAATAAAAAAAATTAACTATACTCAACAGGATAGTAAGTTAAACACATTCGTAACCATTATTAAAAGGGCTGTGAATTGAAACAAATTCGTTACTATCAAAAAGGCTATTAAAATTTAAATTAGTTAAAATCCAAACTTCATTGCACATGCTATGAAATCAACTACATTTATAACTATATTTGAAAACTAAAGTCGAAATAATTATCTTAATTTCTTTTATGAAATGAATTCCAATATTTCACTGGCAAAAATGTAATAAAACGAAGAAAAAATAATGTTTGATAAAAATGAAATATTTCATATATGAATGGAGTATCGACATTTTTCATCCGTGCCTTGATCGCCCACGTAAAATGGATCAATACGTTATCATACCTGTGACAGGTATATGATATTAATGAGAGAAGACATGAAATATCCTTCCTGTAATGGTGATTCTACGGATTGCTCCTGTAACAAAACATCTATATTTCCAAAACCAATTAGAAAGTGTCAGTGCTGTATAAAATAAATTTCTATCTACTTTTTTTTTATTTACCTGGATTCCGCGGCATCCGAGTAAATTTCTTTGCTATGAAACCTCCACAGTACAACTATTGATGAGGCGCTGTCAAGAAGAGCCGCCAACTTCCGGAAAAGAAAGGCAGATTGTTTTACAAATGTACGGAAAATACTTTCAAATGTGTAAAGAAAAAAAAGAGAAAAAAAGTAAATTTTTGATAAGGAATGTTTATAAGGACAATGTTTATCGAGGAAAAAATCCTTGTAATTGATCAATGATAAACGTTGGAAATTTAAAATCATGCATAAAAATTGGGATTTTATAATTTAAAATTTTGCTTTCAATACTTTTTATTGAGTGTTTCTAAACAAACTTGGATAAGGAATGAGCTAGCAGCCTCAACACTGTTTCTTTAATGATTACAAATGCTGTTTTTTTCGGAATTTTAAGGACTTTTTGAGAAACCACAGAGAGATGTTGATAACCTACCCCGAATCCGAATAACGTAGAACTGTTTCTTGTTAAGGAAAGCACTGTAAAGAAATACACGATAATAACACGAGATTCTGGAACACACACCTGTGTTAGTACCGACTGACCCTGAAATGTCTATACCTTAATGCTGACACAGCTTAATTATCTCGGTGAGGTGTTGAGGATTAATCGTCCACAACAGATATCAAAGCATTAATATAAGAGTCATTTGGCAAATTTACGAGATTCAGAAAAATTCTGAAAAATCTTTTTCACTTGATAATTATGTTTGATGTTTCATAAAAGTTGGGCCCATTTGAAATAAAATCGATGTAAAGTAAAAATACAGGCGTGTGTAGGCGTGTTTACAGGTGTGATGTCGCGTGTGCGGGGCAGTTTTACTGACGTCATATAACATATAGAATGTGGCTGTATAGTTATTCGAGGACTCACTGTGTAGTCTGAATAGGACGATTACGTGTAAAGGTTAAATACCTATCTCTCACGGAAAAGTCAATTTTTTCCCGACCACTGTTCGGCAAAGATCGTAAATGAAGGCATGTTTATAGAAAATGGATACCAGCAGCCTTTTTATATCAATACCAGCGGACGATATCGTCTTGAGTATTTCTCAGATAAGTTAATTATTAAGATATCAATGTTGATATATTATATTTTCTCTTCGCTTTTTCAGCGAAGAATGTGTGTATTGGGACTTTAAATTAAATAAATTTCCGAGACAAACTTTTTTCTGTACGTTGTGAATAGAAAAAAGTCAATGACTTTCGAGTAAAACAAATGAAATTACATGGTTCCGTAAGATGAATGTATCTTGAAAATGACACATTGTAATTCTTTATATAAACAGTACGGATCAGAAATACCAGCATGAGCACCCTGGCCCTTTTGGATATGAGAAAAAGTCGTTAAAGATTTAAACATATTTGACACTGTGACCTTGAAAATTAGTCAAGGCCATTCATTTCAACAAACCTGGTAGGCCTTATCCCAGCATGCTACAGGCCCAATATCAGCACCTTGGGCCTTTTGGTTATTGAGAAGTCGTATAATGATTTTGACCCGGCGACCTTGAAAGATGGTAAACGTCATTCATATTAAAAAGAACTTAATAGCCCTTCATCCATGCATGCTACAGGCCCGATATCAGCACCCTCGGCCATTTGGTTATTGAGTAGAAGCCGTTTAAAGATTTTAACATATTTGACCCCTGTGGCCTTGAAAATAGGCCAAGGTCTTTCATTTCAAAAAGGATTTGTAGCCCTACATCCCATCATGCTACAGGCCCAATATCAGAACCCTGGACCATTTCGTTATTGAGAAGAAGTCATTTGAATGGAAAGTTAACGCACGGCGGAAGGCGGATGACAACGGACGAATCACGATGGCTGATGATTATATAAATGACACCAGGAAGCTGAGATAGAGGGAAAATCAACAGATTTGAAAAAAAAATGATTAGATCAATAAGAATGAAAAAATACATATAAATGGATATATCCTTACACCAGACGGCATGCGTCTTACCTAATGCCAGTGCGCCCTGTACCATTGCAAATATCACAGACAGCCATGACACAACGATGGCGGCATAACGGAGGCGAACGGCAGCCGCAAAGCTTACTCTCCTTTTCTTTCCCAGAAGTTCCGCTGTAAACGATAATCAAAAATGGCTAAGAAAATATGATATTTATATTGGATAATATTTCAACTCTATTTTGTATTTTTTTTTATAGATTTATGTGTCTTAAACTTGAAACAATGACGTAAACTTATTTAGTTATAGAAATTCCATACCCACAGTGTGTCCACAAGAAAACATACATGTACATTATTATGTGGCTCTACTATATATCATTCTGTATTGAAAGACACTATTCATTCATATGTCTTTTATACAATCTTAGAGTAAAGGCAATTTTCTTATTAATCTGTTATGTTTTCTATCGGGAATTCTTAATATCGGTCATCGTTTGTTAAATTAGGGCAAGAAAAAGGAAAACATTGCGTTTGTATAAATAAAAAATGCGGACACCACCGGAGGCTACTATTGATACAAATCAAATGTGTCTGACAAGATGACAACAAGAGGACATAGAGTTGGGACAGAAATCGGTCATTTGATATCGGGCAATCCTTATCTTATGTCCAGTTTAGGAAATGATGTTGCCTACAACATGATTTAGGACACTGTAGAAACACACCTTAATCACGGTGGAGTCTACCGCCGGATTTATAAATTAAATCAAGGCGGTTAAAGAAACACAAGTCACTGATCAATGTTGAAACCTTAATATAGAAAGGTTGATTATTATTGCAATTTCCAGCATATACATGTAATACGGGAACGATATACCTTAGAGGCACGTGAAACCGATTTCAATATGTTAATGTAATTAATGGCTTCTAAATTTGAATCATATTTTATAATTCATATCCCAGTAAGACAAAGTTGATACTTCACGTTTCCACGTTCAGTGTGTTTTAGCATTTCATTGTAATCGACTTGTAACCATTTTTGTCAAATTGTTTATAGGTATAATTCAATGTAGCATTAGCATTAAATACCTACATGACTGAGCTGTCTTGCCTTACATGTATCTGTATTCTAATTGCAACACCACATTTGATTGACCAATGAAATGAATCGCGACAATATCACTTTGACGAACCGTTCCCAAAATATCCATTTTTATCCTGCAAATGGCGTTGCCATTGTCGGAATACACCTGCAAGATTTTTTCTGTATTCGGCAATGACGGAAAACAGTTGCATTTTAGCACGTGTGGTAACTCGTCAGAATAATTTTCTTGGTTTACATAGAAATATGTTTAACAATATAAATAACTGTTGAAATAAGCAATTATATATCTTGTAATAAACAATTTTATTCTCGAAAGTCATAAAATCGCTGTCAATCTTGTTGAAGTTTGGAACTATATTTCTGTGCGGAGCATTTATTAATGGCGTACGTCATCAGGCAAAATACAGCGTAACGTCAACGTCGGGTAAAAATAGATTAAACAACAAAGTTTTGATTGCCTGATTTTCAATCAGCGAGGCAGGATTAATGGAATACATGGTCAGTGTCTTAAAATATAAGCCGTATTTTGGCTCGGGACAGAAAGACAAAAGTGGCTCGCTATTTTAGTCTTTCTACACCCTCGCCAAATTACAACTTACGTTTTAAGACACTGACCATGTATTCTCCATATATCTAGTGAACGTGATGCTTGTTGATTACGTCAGTGACCCCGATGCATTCCGACTCTGCCTGTAATATGACGTCATGAACGATAGCCTGACACGTAATGTCGCCTGTTTATATAAGGGCATCAAAATTCACAGATTTCTGAAATTATGCGTAAAATGGCACTTAATTATAGTGGTTTTGTTTTTAATAATCTCAATGAATTAGAATTAGGATAACCCAATGTGTTTTGAAATACGCGGCGATTATACAATTTTCAGTTTTATTGTTTCCCCTCACGTCGCCAGTAAAATACCTGTTCTATCGTTTCATAAATATCGACCGTCTTAATTTATGGTGAAGTCTTTCGTGTGTTTAAGCGCGTCCGAAGAAGAGTACTGGTCGTTATATTTAACAGAGAATGAAGTTTTAACATGCAGTTGTCATATCTTGTTTTTTATTTTTTTCTAAGAAAATGATTTTATCAAAGACATGTATATTTACAGATGTAAGCCTTTCACACAAATTGATATATTATGTAGATTTTCCCTCAGATATATTTAAAACACATGATAACTTGAAATACATTTTCATCTACATAAAATGTCTTACATTTGAAATGGGAAACTACCTGTGCATGTCTATCAACACTTTGTGTTACCGACACTGAAATGGAAATCCATACATAGTTTAATACTTCAGGGGGTATAGATATGTATGGTTTTTAAAGCTTTCTAAATTGTAGCCGACCTCAAAATTCAAGTTCGTGTGTGGATATTTATTTAAAAGCTGAAGAAACAACACATATCCCGAGGCATTGTAATCTACACAATCATTGAAGCGTGTGTTAACCGTGACAAGTAAATATACCGGATATATATTTATATTTAAAGCGTATAACTCACTGTTGTAACTATATAATCGATATCAAACCCAAATACTATCGACCTTAAACACACGCTACTCTGTGTATCACGTTTTAAATAACTTTCTGTTATAACGTATATACTTGAAGGATACAGACGAAAGACATGACCTTCAACACCCTCTCCTAATGATGTTTACAATGCTGGGCTTATTTATCACACCTTCTCGTTGTCCTAACCTTATTTATCTAATTAGACGGAACTCGTATTAGATGTAAATAACACGTGACTGTTATGACGTGACTATATAGCATTTACACCATAGATGTGTATATAAGATCTGTCTGTTGCATCACCTGTCTCTATAACGTGTACAACAAAATCTTAGGATTTCGTTGTGCTCAAATCTCATTTTAAATAAAAAAAAATCCTTGGATGAATAGAGCTGAAGAAAACGACAAATTTAATCCAGCACATGTTAATTTGAAGACTGATTGTAGCCATGGATTCAATTATGTATCACTCGAAAGTTAATGACTTTACAGAAATTTACGTCCTACTACGGTGTCACGTGTCTTATACAACATGTCTATGTATTTATTACATGTATCAGATATTCCTATGTTACAAAGTACATAAACTTGCAAAGCTTTTCATGCGATATTTAACGACACACTGTTTGTCAATAAAAATATGTATTAAAGCCAGATGTTAATTATTTATAAAATTCACATCATAGAACATCACAATGGGGAACTATCTGTACTTTTCCACGCCATATTTATGACTAGTTGAAAATTTGCTTTCCCTCCTAAGCGGCAAAACTTTATATGCAGACGAACCTGTCTATAAAGGCCACTAAAGGGACGAGAAAAGTGGCTTTTATACACAGTTGGTCTTTATACAGAGGTTCTATAACTATGAATTGCATTACACAGGGAACCAAAAACGACTTTTATACACGGATGGTCTTTGTATAAATTTGGCCTGTTAGACAGATTTGACTGTAGTGTGTATTTAATGTCTTGTTTGTTTAGGGATTTAGGCTTCCTTACCAGCATTTGAAGTGTTTAATTAACCAAAGTATTGTACAGTTTATCATCTCTGGGATCTCAGGCCATTGTCTTGTGGCAGTGTATACAACAGGTTTATAACGCGGGCATCCTTCCTTATCAGCGATGTAGTTCGAGTACATATAGATTTGTATCAGACAAAATATAAAAATCCCAGGTTTCGGTAAAGTATTATGAAATGCATTCGCAAATATGTTTTGTTGAAAAGATTGATCACCTTCCCACTGGGTCAGTAGAGGGTAAGATACAACGACCAAATAGAGATTTAAAAACTCGGGACATCCGATCTCTTCCCTTCATTGTACCTGGTTACCGTAGTCATCCCTTTTGATTGCTTTATCACACCATACAAAGATGACATGGATTATTTTTACACGTCTACAAGGTCAAAATATGCATTGTTTGGATAATAAGCTATCATTTTCCCACAACATTTGTCATACCGCAACTTCTGATCGTGAAAAAGTGACGAGCAACATTCACGATTGTGTTGTTGGTGAGTATCCTTCATTCAAACAATATGTCGAATTTTGAAAATTCTGTTGCCTTCATTTGATGACCCATCGACTTTTTTTATGCTTGACTTTTACTTGATGAGAATACAGTATACAGCTAAACTACTATCACTATTGATCTATGGAAGTTATGCTTTGCATGTGTCGCCCTTTGTTTTGATACAGGTAAGTAAATATCACACAGCATGACGTAGTAAATTTTACGTATCGATATGTGTCGCCCTTTGTTTTGATACAAGTAAGTAAATATCACACAGCATGCGGTAGTAAATTTTACGTATCGATATGTATCTCTTTGTGTTGGTTCTCTGATTTCCACATAAACTACCATTTCTGCTAGAAAACATACCTCGCCACAGTGTTTTGGATCTCACCTTCAGCCGGAAAAAATAGGCAATGAAATCGGCACTTTTTTAACAAACTGTTCTTGAAATGGATGGTTAACCCAGTATCGGTATGTTAACATGATATCAACGTGATGATACTGAAGAGGACATTTAGAGTAACTTGTACGAAACTAACACAACTTAAATCCGGCAAAAAACCCAGATCTTTACACACTTCACAGAATCAAGATACTACATCGTACAGTTACAGCTATTGGGTACAGGTTATAGGCACTCGTATAATTTCTTGACAAGAAAAATAATATTTATGTATTTTCAAACTAGTCGGTAGGTCCCGTAAACAATAGACACCATATGTCGATATTTGTAAATTATGTATGTGAAGTTTTGTGTAAAGAACATCTGTTGGTTTGTGGTGATAAACGATAGCACGCGCTGATATTACCACAACTTCTACATCTGCACTAAGTACATAAAGTCTGTCCTTTGTTTATAGCTAATCAATAGTGACGACACATTCGGCGTAAACAGCATTTATCATCGAAATATACATATACCGAATAGTAGATATTTTTGTTATGGAATTGTGCAAAAGATAAAAATACATTATTAAAAATATCCTCACAATGTACATTTTAGCTAAAAATCAGTTAATGCATAACATGCAGCTGTTTCGTCCTTCTAGGACTAGCAAGCTATGCTAATGGCGTAAACCTTTGAAATCTAGACAACGGCTAATGTAATAAAAGATTGGCTGTCACAACTATAAGAAAAATGATCGATGTGAGAATGCACTAACCCTAAAATTCGATAAATTTCCTAATTTTCAAAATCAAATTATTTAATATAAACTTTATTTTATTCCATAACAACATGCGAATATTACATAGCAAAGTATACAGAGGAATTGGAAACATGTTAAACAACTTATATAAATCCTTTTCCATAAAAAAATAAAAATCAAATTATTTGAATGTTAAGTATCTTTATATAGAAATATCCTGAATCACACCATGCCAGTATTCCTGTAAATTAAGAATTGGCACAGGGTAACGGGAAACCTCGAGGCTTTAGGTTCATCAGAAGTTGTTACCCAGGTGATATTAAAGAATAGTACAAATCATACTAGAGAGCGATGTTTGAGTGTATGAAATAGACGATAATAACTTTAATGGATTTTAAAAATAACTTATTCCCGAAACACGTGAACTCAGTTAAATGACAAAGTACGATTAAAATGTACGAATAAATGAATATGTTTAAGAGTCAAAAGAAAGTTGTTTATTTAAGAACGTCTATTGTAAATGTGTGCGTGCCAGGTCATATTAATTTCCGGGTGAATTATCTACAACCGAATCTTTGTACACCGTTTCAGATTCGTACAGCTTGCCGATATTGCTTACTTGCGTTTTTGTGGCAGGTATTCACATAATCATGTCAGATTACACAGAAATAAATGAAAAAGAACGAAAAAATATTTCCTGACAAACCAAGATAAACAAAGCTGACTAACTACGACGTGGACAGACGATAACGAAGGACAGAAAAAGTGACTCGCTAGAGGCTGGTCACTTTTGCCTTTCTTCACCATCGCCAAAATACAGCTTATATTTTAAGACACTGACCATTTATTCTATTTATCCTGCAACATTGATTGAAAATCAGACCATTTAAATTTAAACAATTCTGTTGTTCATTCAATTATATGACGTTGGCGTTACGCGGAATTATGCCTGATGACGGACGCCAAAATAATTGCTGCGTGTGGAAAAATAGTTCTAAACTTCAACGTATATAACAGTGATTATATGAATTTTTACAAATCGATTTGTTCACATTTAAAATCGCATTGACAACTATTCATATTTCTGAACGTAACATTTAAAGCCCCAATATACGTAACATTCACCAAATCTTTAGTGTAGAATCACACATAATTATTGAGATATTCTCTAAGATGTAGTTAAAATTAAGTTATTCAAACAATAGTTACCACGACTTTCTGCATAAAGTATTGATATATGAGCAGTTGAAACTCGCTATTTGTAAACACACCTCCATTTTAAACACGCCGCCATCGAAATTACGATTGTTGCCGAACGACGTCGGAAAGTTCGTGACCTGATCTCGCGAGAGTTTCTACTTATAGAGGAAGCACATGCAGCTATTTCTACGGTAAGTTTTTGTTTACAAACATTGTTTGCGAAGTCTTGTCGTAGACTTGAGGTATTCCTGTGATAAACATTCAGTTTTTGGGAAATTATTAGAAGGAATATTTAGTTTAGAAACGATACGACGCACAATCATAACGTAAGAATTCAGAACTGGCCTGATGTATGATTGGAAAAAAAGGAAGCGACTGGTGAACGTCTGTACTGTGTCTGCCATGTTTATACACGCGGAATATGCGCATGCGCAATGCTATCGCTACGAGCGGTAATGTATGAATTATTGTGGGTCCCACATTGTTTATTAAATTGAAAACAGTCAGTTTTATTTTCTTTAATTAAAGGAAAGTATTTGTTTTGTTACATATATTACGGGGAAAATAAGATAAAGTTTGTTTTTTATAGTGATTTTTACGTATATTGGGGCTTTAAGCAAATTAAGAAAGCAATTCTGTCGAATTATTGTGCGTGCAAAAATACAGCTGTTTTCCGTCACTGCCTAATACAGGAAATATTTATGTGATAAGTGTTTCCCAAATATGGTGACTTGAGATAAAGATTGTTTTCAATAATTATCTTTTATGGCAACATGGTATTGAATATTTAAAGGAGACATTTCATATTAACAAGGAATGATTAAAGTCTATAAAACGCCATCATACACCACATTTATGAAACACTTTACGAAAATATCATAAAAGAATTAACAAAAAAAGGCGGCCTTCGAAATGTCAGTAGTATATACATCAAAAGGAAAAATAAAGAGATATCTAGGGATAGGTATGTTTAGAATACCTTATTACCTGTGCATTTGTCTGTTATTCACAAACGATAATGCGTCGATGGGCATTTTCTTTTATTGGGAAATTCAATGTGTATGCAATTTTTATTTGTCTTTATATTATTCATGAGACCCTTCAGGCGGCAAATTATTTCTCACACTAAGTTAAAATTAAACACGACTTTAACAATGAAATTAATTACATTCAAAGCACATAAGTTTAACGTGCAACAAATGTTATTCTATTTGAATTGAACCCCAGCCATTTTGGTTAAAGAGTAGTCCACAGGTCAGAGAGCAATCTTAATATAAGGTCACTTAGGTCAATTAACTTAAAAGCCCACACAAGTTTAAACCTCACCATATTTATAAAAATTATGTAACGTAACGCTCAATTTAGTCCATGTCGCTTACAATTATATATATCAAAGCCTTGTCACATCTCATACAATACTACTAGGGTCACAATCTTTTGTCTAACTTGTGTTAACAAATACTTATAACACGGATCCAAGTGACACATTTATTGTATACTTAATATAAATTAAAAAAAAAAAGTTTGACATGTAGGAGAGAAATACAGAAATGTATGACCGATATTTGGGCTTATCGCCTCGTGAACAGTCACGGTTAATTCAAGAGGAATCTCCATTTTAACTGCACCAAGGTGGTTACCTCACTGAACAACATGCGTGTGGACCGTCGCATGTTATCCCTTATATTAGGATAAAGTTTCTTGTTAAAAGACTCGACCATAGCTCTCTACCATTCGTGATCTCTGTTTCCATGGAAACATGTAAACTACCCCTGGTAAGCATTCCCGAACCACTCTCCACGCCTCCTCACCTAATTGCCGATATCATAGGTCAGTGAATGATAATGACCTACACTCAAGGTCACATGTCAAATTGTATTTAATATGTTATAAATAAGCTTTCATTGTCCTTTCGCCCTTTGCTTCCGTACTAATTTCACAGTTAATGATACGACAGCAGCAACAGCATCTAGTATGATAGTAAACAACAATGATTAACGAATGCTTAATTACGATCTTCTCATGGAGTAATATAAAAACACCTAAACAAGTAAATAAAAGAATAGCACAATACATAAAAGTAGTACTGACTAATCTAGCGGTCTTTATCATCGAGCGGGCTCTTCGTGGGGATAAATACGGTATCTCGGATAAAACCTCAAATCTCTCTATTATCCCGAAATAAAATTAAAGGTCTTAATAGAAGATGTAAATAAGTATAAAAAAAATAAATAAATAATACTGAAAGCGAGTACATTGTTGTAATGACGTCATCATGTATAGTAGGAAAATATATTTTCACTAAAATTAAGTATTTCAGCCTTGATCTAACTGAAGTGTTTAATTTACTTTTAAAAATAACATTATATTTTGTGTAGAAACGTCATTTTTCTGAATAAATTAAGAGATAAATGAATTATTTTTAATAAAAAAAAAGACAATTGTCGCAAATGTGATTTAGCGCTTCATAAACTGTAATGTAATCTGCTACTGTCGCGACGGCTTTTCATATGTGTCATTGTGATGTCACATTGTTGAATGACGTCACATATAGACACAGCAAGGAAAACAAAATGTAGTACATACCGATAACATTAGGATCAAGACAGGACTTGATATAAAGAATCATGATATGCTATGGAATAAGGTCTATTTAAATATGATAAATGTACTAGTTTAAATAACCGTATCGAGAGGATATGTCGTTACTGGTGTGTGAAACAAACACTACTCACGTTGATATTATGTTATAATACTCACGTTTGGTTCCAAGAAAAGATATGTATGATTTACACTTATTTTTACACTTAGTCGCACTTTTTACCTTTTTCGAGACTAAATTGGGACAATTCTGGTTTGCCGTTTCCAGTATGGTTCATGACACTTCCTTTGTCTCCGATGTCCGGCGTTCCATTAGCAATACGTTTGTATTTATCTTCTGTGTCCGACATTTTGTTTAGGTGTTGCGGACCGCTGGACTAGTACTCAGAGAATCCAGTGGTCAGGGGACCACAGCCCTGTACGCTGACAACTGTTCAGAGATGACAATACTCTCGTACATTACGACGCCGTGATTACGTGTCTGTTCTGTTGAGCAGCTGTACAATACCCTCTCATCAAGATCTAGTCCAGAAATGTCTTTTCAAGCTATTAAGTTATATGATGTTGGTATTTTATCCTGAAAGAATCGAATGACACTACACTTTAAAGCTTCGATATGCATGTAGTATAGGGGTTTACATACATAGACAAACAGAAGTAGATTCAGAGATACATATATACACCTAAACCGGACCGACAACATGGAGTTCAATAGCTTGTATTATCAATGTGCTCGTTCGAGTGGAACTTGTTAGTTTACTAAAGAAGCTTACTTTCGGATTATGAAATAGTAAAGCTATCAAATAAATGAAACCCCCAAATCAAATATACGTCACCCTCACCTATATTAATTTGTATTATGCTAACATTGTATGGACCTTTACTTGTCTCATACATGCATCTATGAAGAAATGGGGGTTTAAACTAAATCCTCTGTTGGAATTCACAAAAAGGTGAAAAAAATCGCGTTTTTTGTGTTTACATGATTAAAATAATACAGATATATGTATATTTCTAAAGTCGTTATCATGATTATGTTGTGTATTACAAATAATGTTAATCTATGCAGTGATAAAGGAAGAAACACTGTCAAAACTCAAGCCTTTTAGTCCACAATCATCTGATGATGTGCTATTTAAATCTTCCGTAAAAATGTTATCGCTGAGAAACGCTGGATTGATCTTTCTAAAATTTCATATGTAGATTCCTCTTTTTTCTTAGTTTTGCTATTTTTGGGACTAATCAGAAAAACCCCAACAAAATGGCTGACAGGCGGCCATCTTGGATTTTGTATATGGAAAAGTAATTTTAATTCAATATATATTATGATGTTTTGGTGTTTATGCAACAATGAACGTCCATGAACCGTCCGTTATTTGATACATTTCTCTGAAATTGTCTTTACGAGAGCATATATGTTTGTGATGATAGATTTTTTTATAAGATCAGAACTTATCATTCCTACTGTACAATACATCCTCTGAGGTCGATTTTCTTGCTGTCTGTCATCATGTATGCTATAGCCTTTTAATCAGGTATTTTATGTACTATGTCGTGAATATATCATACCTGTGTCCACACAGATGTCCATTACTTTACTTTAATACATTTCCATAAGATAAACACATAGTTTATCCACATGAAGGATTAAGAAGGTTTCTGGTATTGTGGACACCGGAAATAGTAATTCATAACAAATCAATGCGCATGACACGTTTAGTCAGTCGTTGGTATGGTCCAAGTAAGCACGCCACCGTATTGGATTATCTCTTCGCTTTGCCAGAGGAAGACAAGATTATACCGGATCCTACGTTTGCAGATAAAAATCCGTTTAAACTATTGTTTAGATGGAGCGGTTTTTAAATTTTAACTGCATTTTCTGTGTTGAAAATCCTTTTGTATGAAACATCGTGCTAAATAAGAATCATACAAATATGTCGCTGTTCCCTGAATAATAGTAACACCCGCTAAGATTCAGCCAGATTCATGCAGCTCTCTTTTCTGCTTAATAAGAGGCTCAATGGGCCTGTATTGATTGCCTGCTTTTGCTTTTTTGAAATTAAAGTAATAGGATGCTAGACATTTGCAAGGTTTTTCTCTTTGGCCCCTACCCTACCAA